AAAGAACACGACCTCATCTATGGATTGTCAAAATTTCAGATGTTTCTGTGGATTCCTCCGAGCACACAAAATCGCCAAAGTTGCCTCCCGCAAAACACCTGTTTCGTTGCGCCTGACCTCCCTGTTTTGAGAAGACGGACCTCAACGCCTGGGCCTGAGGGCCCGTTGCCCTCACTTCTTTTTGGGGTCTGCTTCCACTCGAGGACCAGTCCCTTTTTCCAAAAGTCCCGTTCTACCAGAGCTATCTGTAGGTAGTCCGCAATTTCGCCAAGGACCGGTCTCCCAAAAACTTTTCTCCCCTAAGAACCCACTTTCATCCTGGTCGCCGGCCGCCGAAAATGCGACACCTTAACACAGACGCCGAGGCGGATTATACCGCAGCCTTAGGGCTATGATTATGCCCCTGGACTGGAATTTCCATTGTCTACCACGTGGACGCGGGGAACACAGCCCTAAGGTAGCCAAATCAATGAGACTAAGAGCTTGCACAAGAGAGAGAGAGAGAGAGAGAGAGAGAGAGAGAGAGAGAGAGAGAGAGAGAGAGAGAGAGAGAGAAAAGAGAGAGAGAGAGAGATTATTGTTCCATTTATTCTTATAACGGTGAGAGAGAAGCAGAGAGAGAGAGAGAGAGGGAGGAGGGGGGGGACTACTAGAGAGAGAGAGAGAGAGAGAGGGAAGCGGGGGGCCTACCAGAGAGAGAGAGAGAGAGAGAGAAAGACAGAGGCTGAATGGCAAAATTGAAATATGGGTCAAATTGCAGCCGCGATCTATTTCGCAGTTGGAATGATTTTTTTAAATTTATTTAGCATTTTTTCTGGAAAGATCACAACAAAATCTATGAGTACTCCAATTTTCAGGTTTTCTCACGCATTCTTTTAAAAGTGAAAACTCACCAAATTGCGAATACTTTTTAAGTTGGCCCACACATGGTTGCGTGGGGGAGAGGTTGGAGTGGGGGCCCCAACGAAGGCTAGCGTGGGATAGCTGGGACGAGGATAAAGGATGGTGCACCAGCTGAGGGGCAGGCATGAAAGTGAGACCGAGGTTTTAGCTTCCAAGAGTGGTTTTCTCCTCGCCACCACTCAGTCATCCACCACATTTTTTACCATTATTTTTTGTCCTGGTCCCAGTCTTTGGTCCTGGTCCTGGTCGCATATAGTCTCAATGATGTAGGTAGATAATCGTGTATTGCTGCTTATCTTGCGGGTGCAGTGTTCTGTAGGGGTCAATCAGGGCTTTCTCGGTCAAGAGGGTCGAGGATAGGGGTCGCGCCTCTTCCAACGAAATTCTATCCATGACATATCGAATTCCGCGAGGCAGAGCTACTGGACAAACTGCATACACGAGGAAGTTGAAGAAGCACTGCAAATGCTCAAACACAACGAAAACCCAGGCTGCAATCGCAGGCCTGGAAAGAACTTTGGCAGAGCTTCTGACCAATGTTTTTTAGAATGAATACTGCAGCTTTTAGTACCATTCCTACACAGTCGAAGGGCTGGGTGAGCAGACAAACACTGGCGTGGTGACGCTCGTCTACAGGACAAAGGCGACCCGACTGACATTAGAAATTATAAGGCCAATCACGCTCCTGCTGGCCACATATAATGTAATTGCCAACCTCCTTGCTAATAGATTGAGTAAAGAATACACTCCGCTGCTTCCACACTGACCAAACCGGGTTCGTCACGGGTCACTTTAAAATGTGACGACCCTCATGGCGTCAATCAGGTACATAGCGGGCAAAAAAATGAATGCGGAAATTTGGTGTTTCCATCTCGAGGAAACTGGGAATTCCAACAGCAGCGCATGCAGAAAAAGTGGTTGGACAGGGAGCAGGTTCTGTATAATGACGCGCATGGGTATAGGTGCAAGCGAACTGTTTCCTCTCTAATTCGTACAAAATGCCTTAATCGATCAGACGAAAACCCGCAGACCACTAAAATTTTTCCTGTCCACGATATGGCCTCCTTCCTTAGGAAAGACCCACCAGACCCCTCCGCCATTGGTCGACTTATAAACTCCCCCAGAACCGCCAAGCTCGTGGAATCACACTGCCGGTCACATCGCTCTTTCCGGACAACCTAACAGACCTCCTCAGAGCATCAAATTCATCGTTCCAAGCCCTGACAAGTTCTACCTGAGCCAGGTCCGTAATACCTGCGCAGCACAGGTACTGATAAAACATCCCCTCGTCACCCTCGTTCATAAAATACAGCTCATAGTAAATGTCTGGTTATACATTTTCTCCCCCACCAAACACATCATACAGGAGTTGGGTTTCAACTCGATGGAATGGGCCTGGAGATTGAAAACGAGCGGCAAGAGCGTGGGAGCAAAGGTGGAATAAGACACACAGTACACCACCAGACTTCAAGTTGGCTCTGGCCTCAGAAGAAGATCACAGACAGACACTTGCAGCACCTCAATCAAAGATGGCAGAACCATCTACAACTAACCTTATTAGCCACTCCCCAAATCCTGTGGGCGACAGTTTCGTCCACGAGAAACACCAGAGTCAGAAGCCTGAATGAATGATCATCTATTTTGTGGTCCAGGCGAACCAATCACTCGACAAGGGAGGGAGCCTCCGAAGAGAGAGACAACTTGAACGAGCGTTGTGCTTCTGTGACTACTAGGGGCAGGTAACACCCAGCTGCTCATGGTGTTTTAAGATTAGTTTTGGAAAGGAATGCAGAAATGGTGGAACGTGCAGAACCACATAATATTGGTTTACTTCATAGAGGTACGGAAAAATTAATTGAATATGAAATAATAAAACCTGTCTACAAGCTTTGAATTATTTTGATCGATTAGGTTATGTTTCTATGATGGCACAGGAACACGGTTATTCTTTTAGCTGTAGAACACCTCTGTAATTGTGAAGTAGCATTACGAGCTCGATATATACGAGTGTTATTTTGTGAGATTACCATGTGCGTCATTGTGGAAGCATTGTCCTAAGGCCAGGCAAGTCTGGGAACAAGCAGCAAATCTATAAGCAGCTGTGACAGGCAACCCCTGGCCGGACAACGAGCACATGAATGACATTAACAGGCTTTTGAGCCACTGAAGGAATGGAAAGGGTGGGAGCTCAGGCTTTTCCAAAGGGTGAGAACACTATCCTTAAGGGCGATATGGGAGAGGACGCCGGGAAACAATGAACAGAAGAATCATAGCTGCCCCGAAAGCGTGGGTTGGGGAAACCTCTTGCCCAGTCTCTGCCAGCCAGAGCCACCCACAGCTCAGCCAGGCTGTGCCCAGCTGCTGCTCGCGCAGGCAACAGCATGATTGAAATGGGTTTCTGGCGGGACGAGTTCATTTTTTTCTCCCCCAACTCCGTCAGCCATATAACGTGTAAAATGATTTCCCCAAAGTTTATCTATTGAAATCAGGGCTGGTCCCCGGATGGACCGGGGACCCCTACCCCATCATTCCCTTCCGGTCGCCCCCAGCACATTTTCGCTGGGGCATGAATTTTTTTTTGGGCGGCGCGTACTTGTTGCAGAGGTCTCGTGGGGGCTGGCCCTGCCCCGCAATTACGAAACCGGGTTCTGTAGGCCTGGATTTTCAAAGTCCAAAAAGTGGCCAATCTTGGCTGCCCATCGTCGCAGATCAGCGGCCAAGATCGACCACTGTTTTGAATCAGTCTTGGCGGGAAACTGAATCGCGCAGCGGGGGAAAACGCATCGCCCGTTCAACCCCGCTCACCTCCAGTCTGTGCAACCGCTCCGTTGTCGCCTCCAACAGCCAGCCGCGCCATTGCCAGCCAGCCGTGCCATCGTCGGTAGGTCTCCGAAGGGTGCAGCATCGCCATCGTCCCCTCTGACAGCCAGCCGTGCCATTGCGCCCCACACCGACAAGCCACTCCATCACCCCCCCATGTTTGTTTCTTCTTCTTCTTCGTGGTCACTCTCCTTGCCCACTAGCCATAGCCACCCTCCGCTTCTTCTTCTTCTTCTTCTACCTCCTCCTCCTCTTCTAGTCCTCTTACCCATCAGCTTCTGTTCTTCTTCTTCTTCCTCCTCATATTCTTCTTCTTCCTCGTTGTCCTCCTCCTCCTCCTATTCTACTTCTCCTCCCTCTTCTTCGTCATTTTCTTCTTCTTCCTCCTCTTCTTCTTCTCCTCCTCCGTTCGCCATAACCATTTATCACTATTATTATCATTATTATTTTCGTTGGTGCTCCAACTCCCTTGCATTCTTCTTCTTCTCCTTCTTCTTCTTCTTCTTCTTCTTCTTCTTCATCTTCTTCTTCTTCTCCCTCCTCCTCTTCTTCTCTCCCCTCTTCTTCGTCATTTTCTTCCTCCTCCTCTTCTTCCCCTCCCTCTTCTTCGTCATCTTCTTTTTCTCCCTCCTCTTCTTCTCTCCCCTCTTCTTCATCATTTTCCTCCTCCTCCTCCTCCTCCCCCCCTCTCTCCCCCCTCCTGGCACACCCCAAAAACAAAATCCAACATTCAAAGTTCTATTGCAGAATCCGACAGATCTCGGCAAGCGCAGTCGGATCCCGCAAAAATAATAATAATAATAAAAATCCGAAAATCGGGCATTTTTTTGGGCCGTCCGGTTTGCCGGTTGACCCCCCTTGGCCCGGTCTGGGCCTGGTTGGACTGGGCCAGCTCGACCGGCCGGTTGCCGGCCCAGCCCCGACTTCCTGACTGAGATCATCTGACAAATATTATTGGAACCAGACGAATTGCAAAAAATAATAATAATAAAAAAAAAAAAATTAAAAAAATCATCAATCGTTCAAACTTCAAAGCGAATTGCAAAACCGGACTCCTCGCATTGTGCAACCTGATGAATTCAGAATTATTAGTTTTTCCAACTTCGTCAGCAGTTGTCGAAAAAACTCATCGCAAAAAGTACTGAAGGCATTCCAGCCAACAAATGCAAAAATTACCAATCCCGACGACTTGAAAATTTAGCATGTGGAAAATTTTATCAAAAATTTGTCATCAATTTTTCACTACTTGGCAAAAATAATAAAAAATGAGCATTGCAAATCACGTTAAATATTGATTGCATGTTCGTGGGTGGTGACACAACAGCGCTACCTGCAAAAAATGAGCATTACCAACCATCTTAAATTAGTTCCGAATATTTATTGACTTTCTCACTTGACAAAAGATTGCACCAACAGTAGGGGGGATTGCAATACCATCAACTGGGGGACAAATATTTAAGCAGTGACAGAAAATCCTAAAAAGCTCCGGGACGACAGGCGGACTGACGGTGGAAGGAGGAGTTTGCAGCACGGACGAAAAGCTGAAGACGCGGGGGGGTGCAGTACTCTTGTCGAGTCAAACCACCACCACCATCCACTTTATAGAGAGGTTCATTGAAAAGCGCAAAGCAATGTTTCATAGGCGAGGCCCCCTCCGCAGAGGAGGGTTTGGCTTACATTCCAGATCAACACTACTGGACCGATGACGACCAATGGCGTTTTGCTCGAGGGCTCATAGCCTCATCATACATCCCAGTACAATAATAACCTCCCAGCCTGAATCACATCTGACAACAATGGAATTCCTTTCTCCACCTTTCATCCTCCAAGAGTCTTCTTCCCTTCTTCTCCTTCCCTACACTACTCAATTCCTCCTCTCCCTCTGTGATCCCTCCTGTCGTCAACACCCACTCTGTGCCTCCTCTCCCTCTGTGATCCCTCCTGTCGTCAACACCCACTCTGTGTCCCTTGCTCTGTCTCCCCATCGAATCTCTCCTGTCAAACCCTCAGTTCATCCGAAGCAGAGTACTGCATTTACCGGTTGACGCAGTACGAGCATTTCGATTCCGGCCCGGGCCCGTAGCGACAGCTACAGGCCACTTCGAAAAGTGGCGCAGTTGCAGGCTTGCAAGCCTTGGAAGGTAGGTTCGCCGACCTCCGCTCGGTGAACCGGTGGTTTACCCTTTTCACTTTTTCTGCTCTCTCGCCTAACATTGGCACTCTACCCTGCACAGCTTGGTAGATACTGCTTCAGCAACACTGTAGAGGGTGGCTCCTGACAGACAGGGCCCTGTGCAATCAACACCGCTCGGTAGAAGTGTCAGCCCAACGATGAAGATTCTTCATCACCTGACCAGAGCAGAGCGTGCTTGCTGACTAGCAAGCCAAAGAAGCTAGGGAAACTGCAATTCGCGAAACTCCTAAAACGTCACAGTCCTCCAAAACGCCTCCTCAACCCTCGTTACTCTCCCACCTTTCTTTGTGTGATTTTTCGTCACCCCCGACAAGAACAGATGAACTTGCTAGCTGGCAAAACACGCTAGGAACTGTACTCCAAAATGCCTATTCGACCCTTATTACTCTCCCACTTCTCTTCGTGTTATACCTATCTCCGAAGAAACTGTTAACCGGACGCAAAGCAGAGACACCTTACCAACAGCTAATTGCGAAACACAGAAAGAAGGAACGCCTGCTTTATAACACGACAATACAAACACCTCCACAACCACAACCCAGACACTCGATTGGCTTGTGTGAAAAGACCGTAATCATCAGGGTAAGCACATTCATACCACCGTTCAATAGGGTCTTCTTTGAAGTCGGATGCGGTGTGCAAAACTCAACCCCACTGTGCATGGAGAGAGCATACGGCGTTTCACACACCCTGCCGCGACAGACACGACGTTGTTGGTCAGGAAGACCTCACCAGGGACAAAACCCCTGAGGTATCCTTCATGAAATGAAATAGAAAAAACAACAATACGTTCGAGGGAGGAAACAAAACCTTCATGCACATGGAGCCTTCATCGAAGCCACTGCTCATCGAAGGCCCATATATATATATATATATCCTCACTGCATCAAGGTAGAGAAACTTGCTCAAAAGAGTAATAAAAGCGCCAACGAACATGAATACGTGATGTCGATGTCTTATTATGAAGAAGCACTCAGCACAGAAAGCGCCATGATCGAGAAAGGAGAATCTTCATCTTTGTGGAAAGGCTAAGCCTGCAGTCCTCAAATGCATGGAAGCAATGAAGTAGAGAGATCCTGATCAATCGGTTTTGATATCAACAAGGCAAGAAAAACTGTGCATGCACGTTGATGAATATCCACGCATGCAGCCAAAGCTGCCAAACCCACCGCTGCATGCATGAAACAGCCTCCATCCCCATGGATCTGGTCCACTCCACAGGCGCATCCCAAACCTCCACAACAGGAAACTACCACCACTTAACCATAGGGTATGAATAGGTCAACCCTATGTTATAGGTCACTCCTCTGGTAGATCAATCCCCATGGATCTATCTATCACTCACCAAAAAACAAGATGTCAGGATCGGAGGACAAAATGTTGAAAAATCTTTTCTGTAATGGGATGAAATGTCATAAGCAAGCAAGAACACGAAGGGCAAGTCTCAAACAGTCCGTCTATGCCCGACAAAGTGGCATTTTCTTCCATCAAGAAGTAGCGCAAGAAGATCGCGGATGTGCTCATACCTGTGCCATACAAGTCATCAGCGTCAGTATCTCCAAACCCTCGAACAGCCCACAACACTCCCGAGTACCTTACCCTCCGTTCGCATCTTGCCACAGACGTACAAAGCGAACCCTTTGAGAATTCATCGCTGGCATTTGTCTGTCAAGTACGAGGTGTCAGTGACCACCACTCGCCAAACGCACATAGGCCTTCCACGTCATATCGCAGAATTCAGGGCAAGCATTCCAGAAAACGGCTCCTCGACCAAGGTTGTCTTCTGCTTCACCTACTTCAACTCAGGCTTTCTTGCACCACATGATTACACCCGCCAAGGAGGTACACCAGCACAGTTAGGTGCTCACAACTTGTCAAAGCGTATTTATTTAACCATTATGTGATCCTGCTTCCCGCAAGAATTCCAGCGTGGCTGCCTCCCTGACCGAGACATTCTGCTGCTTCACTCATTCGGCCTCGCAAGATTCTTTGCCACGTACTTACTTAACACTGCAAACACGTACACCAACGGACAGCCAGAGTCAGTCGGCACAATCCTTCAAAAACATGCACAAACAATGCATAAACTAAGAGGGTTGGATCCCACTGCATGGCGGCCGACGTGTGCCTGCTGGAAAATGTCCGCACACCAAAATCATAACCTCTGGCGGTGGGAGAAAGAAAACGAGACCCCACCGCAGCAAAAAATTCCACCAGGTTTGTCGCTCCAGGTTACCCAATAGGGAATACTTCCCCAATTGGTCTGCAGCACGATACCCTTCGGGAAGAAACAGCCGCAGACGTAGCGGTGGTGTTAAGGGTACACAGAGAGGGAATTTAACTACCGCAGTTACGTGCATTAATGGCTCTTGGGCTCCGGCACACCTGATTTTGGTGTGCGGACATTTTCCAGCAAGAGAAATGCCACGTACCTGCGGTAGTTAAATTGACTTGGCTGTAGGTTCAGTACTGTGCCTCCCATATGAAAGGCTTTTGGAAAGATTGAGAGCCTCTCAGAAGATATGAAAGGGATAAGAACCAACATCGTACGCTCTATATAGCACAAAGAAGGTTTCTGATCACGTTCTTTCGCTCCTCAGACACAGGCACTCGATGACAAGAACAAGAAGAATAGTACAATACCATTAAAAAAAAAGAAAAAAAAAAAGTAGAAGGCGTAACATGCACTAGATTACAAGAACACGAAAACATCACATGAACAAAGAAGCTTTCTCATCACGCTCTTTCACCTCCCGTCCCGGCTGCTGCACTCTTCTGGTCTGGTTGCATTTGGCACAAGCAAAACACATGCAAGGAGGACCAAGAATCATGCCATGTGACACACACCTCTACTCCACCATGGCCTTCTCGACAACTTCTCTCTGCTCTTGTGCATGAAGTCCACCAAAACCTGTCGCCGTTGCAGATGAAGGGGGCCTTCCCACATACTTTACTTCATCATGGCCGCCTCTGTTCAGTCTCTTCATGACCAATGCCAACCGTGGATGAATGAACGACCACGCCCCCATGTTCATCGGCTCCTCTTGGCACCACACAACCTCCGCGTCTGCACGACACACCCATTTATTAATCAAGAAAGTAGGTCAGGTCCGAGCTCTACTTAACCACGCACACGTCACGAGGTCCCTATCCCTCTACAATGGCCCCCAAACCTCCAGTTAACACTAAATTTTCAGGCTGAGAGCCTACTGCCTTCCCATTGGATGCATATGTCTCGAAAACCGAGTCCCATGGCCCATATGCATAACGGCTATGGAGTTAGGCAACACACTCGTCAACAAGAAAGGGCAGAGCATAAACCACATAAATGATACTTGAAAAAAACACCGTCTGCGTGCAAAGTGCACGTGCGGCACACAGCCCACACCATGCAGAGGTGCCACACAAGGCCTGTGCACATCAGTGTGTTCCAACCAGCTCTCAGAAGAAGAACAATTCTTAAAAATCATTAAAAGATGTCGATAAAGAGTAGGCTAGGATGCTACTCCACACCCTTTCCCATTTTTTCCCCAAAATTTTCATTTGGACCATACAAACACACATTTCAGCAGTCGTGTCAAGTACACAGAAACAGTCCAGAAATATATATAGCCGAGCAGGTCCCCTCTGTCCTTGTCGAGGAGAAGATATCAAGTCAGTTGAAAATCCATTTCTTCATGCTATAATCATTCAGCTATCAAGATCCAGAGTTGTTTTCTACTCTAGATTCCTAAGAACTGAACTGCACGTCACACATGGAGATCAGACCTATCCCGTTTTCCTGACGTAGCCCAGAGAAAACGCAGCAGGGGTCCCAAACAACTACCCCATCTAATCAAGTGGTCTACGGAATTACACACTGTGTGAACCCATCAGATCCATGTTGTGACCAGACCGTGCACAGAGTTCATACACGGGTGTACATGCCAGGAAGGCGGGCAATTGACGTTATTGCACAAACTATACCACAGAGAAGAGAAAGAGCAGCACGAAATAGAGTACGGGAAGAGTACTCACTGGAGTATCGGTTGACCTCACGAATGGCAAGATCCCAAGGGAAAGGAGACAATTGCTCAACTCGGCAGATTGCAACGTCATCTGCCCCTACTCTCTGTCTCTCCTCCTCCAATTCGTAGTACACCTGTTGCACCAAACACAATGCCAATTAAGTAGTCAAGAAAGTGTTGTCCATCATTGACCTTACATAGCATTAACCTTTCTGTTCTCAAGTGGAATGCAGAGATTCGCATTAACCACTGTCGGGCCCACCGATAATGTTACCACAAACTGTCTCACAATCGGATGCCAAATGAAAGCTCAAGGAAGCACTGTCTTTCACAAGTACATAATTAACCTTGCGGACCTGAAGAGAATGCAGAGACTCAAAGCAGTAGGTCGTAAGGTCGTAGGTACTCGCGCTAGCAGGACAGGTTCAAAGGCAGTCTCCCCACAAAAGCGGGGCCAATCTCTTCGACTGGCTTCTGCAGCTGAGCAAAGGAGGCAGCTTTGCGTCTTTTCAGTTTCACTACGGATATACGGGCCAAGACAAATGTAGAGCAGAACCTTGGCCCCAAGAAAGACCTGGGAGCGAAGCCTTCCGCACAGGTTGCCGGGAGACTCTCTCTCTCTCTCTCTCTCTCTCTCTCTCTCTCTCTCTCTCTCTCTCTCTCTCTCTCTCTCTCTCTCTCTCTCTCTCCCCCTACGCATTTGAAAGTGGCTTCGATTTGAATGAATGGCTTCGATTTGAATGAATCTTGCGCCTGAAAGCGGTAACATTCTCTCTCTCTGTCCCTCTCTCCCCCCACCCCACCCACACATCCACACGTCCAACTATCCTCTGGCTTGTTCATTTTCCTTTGTTTTTTGTTTTGTTTTAGAGTAGAAGAAAGTCCTTTTTTTGTCTTGCTTTTTATCCTTTTTTTTCCGCTTTATTCCTTTTCAATGGTACAACGGGTAGGCCGACACTCAGCAGATCGGGATACCGGTCGGCCAAGCGTCAGACTCAATAGCATGGAAAGGTATTGGTGGTTTAATCACGAGTACACACCATAACTCAGATGTAGGCCCCTTCCAGAGCCGAAACGCGATGTCGGCTGCCAATATTTTTTTGTCGACAGCACATCGGTCCCGAACTTTCTGGACAAGGCAACGAGTTTCTTTTAAGAAGGTGGGGGCCGTGTGCTGGCGGTTTAAGAGAAGGAATGAACACTCGAGGCTGGACCATTGATGAAGAACAAGAGCAGACAATGTGAATGCATCAAAATTACTTGCTCAATTACCTTTCCACTGCACAATACAAGCCGCCGGATTCCAGGCTCCTTATCCTGGTGTCTCTTGACATCCTTGATGATCCTCTTAAACCGTGTGCCTTGGATGTCAAACCCCGGGTGGCCACTCATATCATCAAACTCTGAAAGAGACGAGCGGCATGCTTGATGACGAAGGAGATTCTTTGGGGACATAACAATCAATGGCTTACGGAAATCTCTATGAATCTGCACAAACCCGAGAAGATAAAATGTCTAAATCAGGTACACCATTCACAACATAAAGTCTTATATTCACTTTCATTCCAGCACACCCGCTGGGTCATTAGCATCAGACTGCAGATCTCTTCTCTTACATGACGAAAAACACCTTCGCTGACCGGTCTGAGATCGGAAATACCCATAGCAAGCCACATACGCTACAGCAGCAGCAATTTGAGAGACGTCCCGGGCAAAAGGGTGAAAAAACCTATAAGCCTCCATCGGATGACCACAGCGCTCTTCAGGACAATGGAAGGCACCAAAAGAAAAAGCAAAGACTAGTCATCTGCAAGAGAATCATAGCCTGGAACGTACACAAAAAACAAAAAAAAGTCAAACAAAACAGCGCGACATGGCTTTCACCCACATTACAACTAGTCTAATACAACTCATACAGAAACAGCCGGTGCTGGACTTCAACAGACTGACCACTCACAGTAGTTTACCTGACGGCGAAGGACGTGGAAGTAATTTGCGGGTGTTGTCACGTTCACAACTTGCCAATTGACCTCCTGGATCTGTGTACGCAGAGTTGGCTCCATCTCCGGTATCTTCATGGGATGGTCATCACTCATCTGCCATAAGCGAACACACGACAGTCTCCTGATTATCAAACCAGACACACATCCTTGTATTACCAAATGCAACAAAATTATATGTAACCCAACTGGAGATCGAAGACCGGCATTGGAATTTCAAACGGGGATGAAATACCTTTCCAGGCGCCCGGGCTGCCTCTCGCTGCCTGGAATGCCAGGCTGAGCAGGATACCAGCCAAGTCCCAGGTAGCCCAGGCGCAAAATAAAAACACTCCCAAAGAAAAAAAAAAAAAAAACCTGGAAAACAAATATCTGCAGAAGTGCAACGCAAACAACTTTTGGCTGACGGTCTCCTCAGAATTCCTTGTCGAGTCAAATGCAAGAAAGCGAATAAAAATATCAAACGGAGGCACACCCCTTTAAACCCCTTTCAAACCCCATTTATATTCCGTTTATACCCCTTTCGAAGTGTGTGTTCCTAGGACAACTTCCATGGGGTTTCATAACTCTTTTCCCTCATTTCATTTCACATAATGAGCAGATATGTAACGCCACACGCTGAGCCAAAAGAGGAAAAAAGAGAAACAATCAAGCGAGGGTTAGAAGAACCCTACGGTCTTCACCCGAATAGAACGCCCGGTCATTATCGCTGTATTTAGACTGGAACTTGGCCCAAATACAGCTATAATGACCAGGCATTCTATTCGGGTGAAGACAGTAGAGGAAAAGAGCCAGGGCGAAAGAAAGAAGAGGAAGACAAGGGACAAGGGAAAACCCACTCCTGGCGGTCGAGCAATGCTGCTGTTCCGCTTTCAAAGCTTCATACATGCGTTGACCTGTCGTTGGAAAAGGAATCGAAGTGCCGCTCGCCAGAATAGACTGGAGCCATCACCACAAGGTCATGTTTTTTTGTTTTTAACCCCCCTCTACCTCTCACAGGTAAACTTTGGCAAACAAGCTGTCTACTCCCCCATCCTTTTTGGGGGGGTGGCGGCACCAGCCAAAAAGAAGAAAAGACGGCTACTTCCTCATCCTTGTAGGCTTGGCCTCCCAGACCTCTCTGGCTGGTGGTGTCAGGCAGAAAAAAAAAAAAAAAAAAAAAAAAAAAAAAAAGAAAAAAAAAAAAAAAAAAAAAAAAAAAAAAAAAGGAGCATTGCGCTGGTTCACTTTGAACTTGGCCAGCACCACAAATCCACCATAAGAAAAAGAGGATCGGAGGAAGAGGCGGGTTAAGAGAAAGAAGAAGAAAGGCAGACCAATGTAAAAAGAAAATCTAACAGAGGAGCACATAGCTGTGGCTGCAGCATGCTGAAGTTCCAGTGTCTTACCAAAAATAGCACACAGCTCATCAGCACATGCACTTTTCATAATGAAACTTATCGAACTTGTTGCTGCGAACAAGGAAAAGCGGAGCTTACATAGGAATCATTTACGCATGGGAGACGTGCATAGCAAAACAACCAACCTGCAAAAATCTCTCAAGTCGGGCACTGCTGTGCTCTGGTCCTTGCCCATCGTACCCATGAGGCAAAAGCACTACCAGACCAGTTTGCCTCAGCCACTTTGTCTCACCACTGGACAAGAACTGGTCAAAAATTACCTGCAGGGCACAAACACATGATCACGGCGCAAATAGCCATCAACCATCGATGTCCCTACCATCACACAAGAAAGCACGTTCATTTGTGCTCAACCAGCACTGAAAAGCCCTTTAACACCAGTCCTCCTCAGACACCAAATATCATCGTCCAAACTACAGACCAGTACAATGTATGCACCAAAACGCGAATCTGCAAGAGGTGCAGTGCAAACACATGCAGCACAACCTTGCATATAGCCCGGGCATCACAGAGGAGGACAAAGTCCAGAATCTGCCAGATTTAACTGCACGCTTCAGGCCATCAGTGTCATGACGGGTTAGTATGTTGCAGAAGCATTTATACTGGCAGCAGTGGCACTGAGAAGATGTGGCAACAGCTGCGTAGGTTTAGAAAGAGAGGGGACCGCAGCATTGACTGCACTGTCTGCACGCCGACTGCAGACTCTCTCTCTCTCTCTCTCTCTCTCTCTCTCTCTCTCTCTCTCTCTCTCTCTCTCTCTNCTCTCTCTCTCTCTCTCTCTCTCTCTCTCTCTCTCTCTCTCTCTCTCTCTCTCTCTCTCTCTCTCTCTCTATCTATCTATCTATCTATCTCGCTCGCTCTCTGCACACACACACACACACACACACACACACAGAGGGGTATCGTTAACTCTGGGCACACCGGTGAACCCTTATCCATCAGTCAAGTGCATCCTGGGCAGGCTTTCATACTTCAACCTTTTGATGAGCCAGTGAAAGTCCGATGAAACAGTCTGGCACAGTCATGCTTTGTTGTGGAGTTGTGTATGGCAAACATCACAAACACGCACACAAACCCCAGCCCCCCTCCCCCCCATAGAGGTCGATTGATCTGCCAGATTAACAGCACAGTTTGCCTGATCAAGAAAAGTAAAATTGAGGGCATACGGGCACCAGTCTTTTTTTTTTTTTTAAAGCCCAGGCAGCTGTACATTTGACGCCGAAGGTGCACCTGGGCCGAAAAACTCTGTCCAGTGCCCTGCCCAGCCCAGCTGGGCATGGCAGGCAGTTCCCATGCCAGCTACGGAGCCACGTGCGCCACAGATGGTAGCCCAGGAAAAAGGGGGGGAAAGAACATAAATATACAACGTGCAAATCCTGAACAACTGTCAACTTCCCTAGAAAGCATACCCAAACAAGATGTGCGGAATCATCATGTTTGCAATCCAGACCATCGGGAACCCCAGACCGAGATGTCTTCCAGATGGTCTGCGAGGATACTCTGAAAAGATGCTAAGACATTCCGATATTTCAGAAAGGAAAACAGAAAGATATCTGGTAGACATATATGCACGATTGCAATACAAACGACTTTCGGTTGAAGGTCATCTCAAAATTCATATCCCACCCCCAAAAGAAAACTTTAATTGGTTCAGCGGGGAAAGGGGGGGTCATCTTAAGAGTAACCGGACATCCAGCTTTCAGCTTTCTTTGTACGGATCTGTCCCAGTACAGTCTGGTATAGCCATGCATTCTACAACAGTGCAACTAAAACAAGAAAGATGAACAATTTAGTGATAGAATTCCTGGACACTGGTCTCTTGCCGAGCATAACGCTCATCACGGATACACACAATCTACCTGGTGATGCCCAGTGCAATCAAACAGCATGAACAGAGCAGTCAAAGCATCACCGGAGAAAAAGGGAGGCATACCCGGCATAGCCAACTGGCAACGACCATGAAGGTGGATTGTGTGCGTGCCTCAGCATATACACACCTGTGCACCATTGGCAAAATCACCGAACTGCGCTTCCCAGCACACCAATGAGTTCGGGTTCTCCATCGAATACCCCAATTCAAATCCCAAGACACCAAACTCTGAGAGTGAACTGCGGCAGTGCAAACACCACACAGACCAATCACAGACAATTCCAAACAGTCAATGATTAACGAGTTTGGTGCGAGGGTTCACAACTTCACAGCCATGAACAAAAAACAAATAAATTGACTAAACAGGAAAAGGCAAAACAAGCATTTGACAATCCAAGTAAACCACCCAATAACACAATTTACGGGATTTGTGAACAACCATCGTGTACAGTGGCGTCTTCAGACTTCAGGCCCTGCTGAGCGGACCAACATGAAGACGTGCCATCCTTATCAAGACAGCCTATACGTCTTTGAGAATCCAAAAAAGACTTTTGAAGTCACCCGTCAGCAAGGAGGGATGTCACCCTGATAAAACGGGACAGTCAATACGTGCTTGGGTAATCCAAAAGATTTGAAATCACCCACACAAAATAAGATTCATGGGGATGGTAAATTGAATACAGTTCTGTTAAGAAGCACAAAACAAGGACAGAAAACAGAATGAACAACAGTCATGGCATGCATTGATCATCAGAGAACAGTGTGTAAGCAATGACCCATTCAAATGGCTCCAAGCTAACAATGACATCTACATGTCCCCCGAACTCAACAATGGCAATCGCATAAACCATGCTGAAGCCACAGGACAGGGCGGGAGAGAAATATACACTCCCCCCAACATGCAACACAAACAGAGGTTAATTGAACTGAGTGAAGTAGAAAGAACGTTACGAACATAGACCACTACGAGCAGAGCTGTTGCTCTCTAGGTCTCTCAATACCTCCTCAAACAGTCGAACCAGCACACACGCACTGGCAGGATAAACGCTTCACTTCTCACGGACATTTCATCGTCTGCAGAGCTCCAGGGCACGGACAGCTCTAGGCCCGCATGCACGCCCCCCCCCCCCCCCCCCCAACAAAAAAAAAAGCAAAGCCTGCAACCCCTGGGCACTATGCCTTAGGGCCGCAGTTCATTTTTCTGAGCTTTGCTTTGTTTCTCAGATTCCTGTCTGTTCCTGGTTCTGTATGTTCTGGGATGGTCTTCTTTCAGATTTTTCAGACCCGAACAGGCCTTGTGCATATTCGGGCCAGCTGTAGGACCGGTTCACACGTTTCGGGCATCTTTATGCCTGCAAGAGCTTTGTACGACTGGACTGTTTTATTGTCTGTAGTGCTGAGGCCCAGTCCATGTCTGGCCCTGCAGAGGTGGAGCTGCTGATGAAAGGTCCTACAGCTAATCCTGGAGCATGAGCGACTGGTTGGGACCCAGGCCACCCTTTTTACTCCTGGGCCTCGATCAGGACCTGAGGCCCCAGCTTGGATCATCAGATCCGGTTTTTATGCGACGCGCTGCATTGTTCGAGGCTCGGGGTAGCGGGAGAGGCACAGCGCTATTTAGCTGGACCTGGACATTAGTTGGGGGCAGATGTAGCAAATCCAGTTTCTCACCAGGCTGTAGGAGAGCAGCACTGCAGTTAGCACTAAGGATTAGCACAGGGGCGTTAGCATCAGTGGAGGTACGAGGAGAGACTGGCTACAGTGCTCTGCAGCATAGCTTGGGGACTGTGTGCCGGGCATAGCCAGACTTTACTCCGCAATCTGCTGTGGCTCACTACAACATCTTTCACTGGTCACTGAGTTACAACAGAGAGTGGGAGGGAGATTCTTCTTCTCCTTCTCTTTACTCGTCCCCTCCATATCCGCCTCTTCCTTCCTTACTTCTGAGAGAGGTCAAGGACTTCACTTTCAGGGATGCTTCTCCCAAATCCAGACAGCATTGTATTTTCAGGCAATTGGGATTTGCAAGAGAATATTATTACTCCGCTGTTGTATCTGGGCTCTCTCCTCTCCTTCTTCCATATCCAATGTCTTCTCCTCATCATCCACGGTTACCTCCCCATGTGTGAGTATGTGCAAGGAGGGATTTTCTTACATGTCTGCTATTCTTGCCTCTCCTAGTGATAATGATAATGTGTTTGATTAATTGTTTTCAGGTTTCCACTGCAGTGCATTTGTGTTTCTCTTCACTTGAGTTCTCTCTCTCTCTCTCTCTCTCTCTCTCTCTCTCTCTCTCTCTCTCTCTCTCTCTCTCTCTCTCTCTCTCTCTNTCTCTCTCTCTCTCTCTCTCTCTCTCTCTCTCTGTGTGTGTGTGTGTGTGTGTGTGTGTGTGTGTGTGTGTGTGTGTGTGTGCGCGCGCGCGCGCACTATACACTCAAAAAAGGCATGACTGTGCCAGACTGTTTCGTCCGACTTTCGACGACTCATCAGGAGGTTGTGTGTGTGTGTGTGTGCCCTGACCCGTTCCCCTAGAGACTGTCCTGGTCCATCCTCACGCTGCCCAGAACCTGATGATATTCAGCAACATTCAGCAGTCAGAGCAAATGTGGCAAAGGTTAGTAGTCAGTGCAAATGTTTATACCTGTTGCTCACAGTGAACATCTCTGGTCGCTGCTGCTCCAACAAGTGAGCGAGGGGAGTGTACTTCTCTCCTGTGGTCTGATCATGCACAACTGCATGCCGATGGCTGAAGGTTCCTCTCTCCACGTCTTGCCCACTCAGTCTGACATGATTCCCCTCTGCCAGAAGTGTGCCAAACGCCAAGGCCTCGGACATAGCCCAGTCAATGCCTTCACCAGTTTCAATCATCTGTGCCCTTTGTTCATAAACCCTCTTGATTGCCTTATGGGGCGTAAACCCCTCAGGCAGACTTGAGATCTTTGCACCCACCTCTCTCAGAATCTCCTGCTTCACTCCTGTGTTCCTGATCCTCGAAAGTTGCTCTGCCCCCTTGAATCCAGCCCAGTAATTAGCCAACCAATCCCGTCGCTGAGGAACATAATCTTTGCTGTTCACGAACTCCTCGTTAAGAATTTCGAAAATACGGTTCTCCATCTTCTTTATCTCCTCTTTCGTCAACTGACCCATCGATATCAACTTCTGGTGATATTGGTCCAAAGCTGGCTTATGGCTCTTGATCACCTGTTTACATCAGAGTTCCAGCCAAGAGATCCCAACAACATACGAACAGACATCAATACAGTCTGAACACGCTTCGCACACTCAACAACAGGCAAAAGCACTGACACTTTCCCAAACAGGTACTCACCGCCCCAGGTCCCTTAAGAAGGTTCTCCTCTTTCTTTCTCCTCTTTTCTGCAGTCCCGATTTCTGCCATGCGTCGAGTTTTCTCAGACCAGGGTGGGTATGACATCACACACCTTTTTGCCTAGCCCCCAAGTACACAGCCATGTCAATGGCCGCATCTGAACAAAATTGCTGAGAAATGTTCTGGCGGTATAACCCCGGCGTTAAGACTAGTTAAATCACAAGAATTTGAATCACAAGAATTTGACCCATTACATGGCCGCGGGTCTGGAAACGTACAGGTGGTATAACCCCATGATGCATTAACACTTAGTTAAACCACCAGTACTTGGCCAAGTCACCACATCGACTTTTAGTGGTCGGGTCACTCAAATTCGCCAACCACCATTCCAACTCCCACAGCCCAAGGAAATGTACACCCAGTATAAACCCATGCATTAAAACTTGGGCTGTACTTGCACAGTTGGGCGCCGCAACTTTCAGGGCTCGGGGGCGCTCCGTGGGAAGCCCCAACTCCCCACGATTGCAGTGTTTGAAAAAGATAGCTGGACCTGGTACTGGGGGTTCATAGGTGGACCCCATTCGGCACGGCGACTTTCAGGGGTCGCTTAAGAGGTCACTTCATGGGCAGCTCCAATTCCCCGAGGTTGCAGTGGTTGAAAAAGATAGCTGGACCAAGTACTTGGGGGTTATGTGTGGACCCCATTTGGCGTGGCAACTTTTGGTGGTCGTGCAGGCTAGGAGCTCCAGCTCCCAGGGGTCGCAGCGCTTGAAAGACATAGCTGGGCCAAGTGCTGGGGATTTATGGGTGGACCCACAAGCTAGCAGAAACTGTTCGCAGCGTTCAAAAAAAATAGCTGGGCCAAGTCCTCGGGTTTTATGGGTGGACCCACACGCTAGCAAAAACTGTTCCTTTGCACCATTGCCACAGATCGCAGTAGAAAAAAATAGCTGGGCCAAATACCGGGGGGTGGGGTTAGGAGTGAACCCCATGGGGGCTGGTGGAAATTGTTCCTCTGTCGGGTGGAAAGTGTCAAAGGGGCGCACTTGAACCTCGGCAAAAATACATTCACATCTCACATCAGGTTCTGCTTTCCTTACGACGAAAGCGCTCAGGTTATACTACCGGATATGTACTGTGGCCGTTTGGGCAACTGGAAAACGGAAAATCCCCGCAGGGCATGGCCCAAGATATTGCCATGTCGCCACCTTGTGCTTGGTTTATATTTGGTGACACCGTCATTTCGGGATAGATATTGGGACCTCGGGCTGGGCGTCTGCCTTGAGATATCATCATCATTGAACCTGACGGGCCCCAGGTAATTCAGAATTTATGTTATTCTGATCTTCTGATTGTATCTGGATTCGGACTTAGAGTCTGTATTTCAACAGTTCATGGGTGTGCCAACTGAGCTACCTTCTTCCCCCGAACACAATGCACCCTTATTTTGGCTGTATCTGGCCGGAAATATAGCTTGTATACATTCATTTTTAAGGTGCGTTATGTTCGGGGGAAGACGGTAGGCTCGTTGCTGGCTCTTCCATATTTCTTCCTCCGTGGAATACAAGCGCTGTTTCTTTTTTTGGCAAACACTTCCCACGTCAGTACCACAGTTTCTGACGTTACCCGAACGTCACTTTCTGTCGTTACTCTGTCATTACTCTGTCGTTACTCGTTCCACTCACATTCTCGCATAGCCTTACGACCATTCACCTATCAGAGGGCCTCGCCACATGGCACGCAAAAAGACAAAAAAACGAGTGCGTCTTGCCACAGAAATTGAAAGATTCATCCGTTCATTATAGGTAATAACAAATGTATATCTTGTCACCTTCGGCGGGCAGATGCACTCGTTTTTTTTTGGGTCTCGTGGACCGTGTGGCGATGCCCTCACGTGCATGAGAATCTCTCCATCATTCCGTAGTGTGTGATAATCTCTCAAAAGTGCGTGAGTTTCTCAAAAATAACGCTGACAGGCTGACATGATGGAGAGCAATGTGTCTTTTCGGGCCATACGTGGTATATGAAAGCCACATCATCGTGCAGCATGTGGCACATGCAAGATGTGGTGTGGACGTAACAAAGTGCATTTGGAACATCAACAATTGTGCCAGTCACAAGGCTTACACATGCGGTGCCCGTAAGACCTGGTTTCCCACACGATTCGTTGACATGGCTCGGGATATGGGGTGTGCTTCATTGTCACCTAGAACGCCAATGTCACATGACATAGAACGTCATATGGAGCGATCACATAGAAATGTCACACATAGAACGTCACACGAGTGTCACAGGGAGTGTCATGTTCAATGCTACATCTTGTGCTACGGTGCCACGCGTAGCAAGAAGCGTAGTCCGCGACGTTCAATGGCAGTACAATGGACTGTGGGAGACAGCCTCCTGCCTTGACCCTCCCCCATCGCACGGTAGAAGCGCCTAACAAGGTCAAGGCTTACGGACTGCAGACCGCAGTAACAGAAACAGGGGTCAATCATACCCAAAACAGACTATAACACGTCAAAATACAAAAGACGGGAAAAATTAAAAAAAGGACAAAAAATCGAGTCCAGGTGACGGAAATGGACAAATGGCATCAAATGGCATCAAAGAGAGAGAGATGGAGACAGAGTAAGAGAGATCGAGGAAGGGACATGTGAGGGGAGAGAGAGAGAGAGACAGACAGACAGACAGACAGACAGAGAGAGAGAAAATGGACAAACGGCATCAAATGTATTGCCCGGGGCCAGTCAGTTCAATGACGATACCTCAAAGCCGTCGCCATTTTTCATTAAAACAAAAACAAAAAAAAAAGAGAGAAAGATGGAGAGAGAGAAAGAGAGAGCGAGGAAGGGACACGTGGGGGGGGAGAGAGAGATAGAGAGAAAGAGAGAAAGGGAGACGTGAGGCAGAGCAGAATCAATCATACCATACCTTGTACATGCTGGGCTGTGTGAACATCGGCTCGTCCATTTCGTTGTGTCCGAATCTGCGATAACAAACAAGATCAACGACAACATCCGATCCAAACTGGTTCCTCCAGTCTGCAGCTAACTCACAAGCATGAACGACGGCCTCCACGTCATCCGCATTCACATGGAAAATGGGGGCATTCAGCGCTTTTGCCACATCAGTACAATAGGGTGAAGATCGACCTGATCTGGGGTCTGTTGTAAAAGCCACCTGATTGTTCACCACGATATGTATCGTGCCTCCAATCGTGTAATTAGGCAGATCGCTCAGATGAAAGGTTTCATAAACAACTCCTTGACCCGAAAACGAGCCATCGCCGTGAAGCAACAGCGCCATGTTCCGCTTTCGGTCTTTGTCCATGGCATAGTACTGCTTCGCTCTCGTCTTTCCCATGACGACAGGATCCACAGCCTCTAAATGACTAGGGTTAGCCACAAGAGACAAGTGGATACGGTTGCCACTCCTCGTCGGCCGATCATAAGATGTTCCCAAGTGATACTTTACATCGCCCGACCCGTTGTAAATCGTATTGTCCGAGCTCGCAGGCTTCATCCCACCTGTACGTAACGCACAAAAAGAGAAAGCAACGCCAACGCCAATATCAACAAAAGGGTCAGAAAGCAGAATCGCGCGTCATCATCGCCATCCGTACCGTCCTCTCCCGAATAGATCGTACGATCATTATGGCCGTATCTAGACTGAAAGGTGCCCCCAATGCACTTATATGACCTTACGTTCGATTCCGGGGAAGACAGTAGGAATCGTTCGACGTAATGAACATCATGACCACACAGATCCGTCACGCCTTTCTGACAAGCGACAAAACAAATTAGACGCAGAAACTCTCTCTCTCTCTCTCTCTCTCTCTCTCTCTCTCTCTCTCTCTCTCTCTCTCTCTCTCTCT